GCCCCCAGGACCGGTCTGGTGTGATGTAGCCTCCTGTGCAGGCCCCGTGGCGGTGGGGAAGAGTTTTTAACGTGTTATTTTAATATAGCCGGCCATCCTACATAGCCGCCTAGAGAAGGCTCCATTCCGCCTCGACGGCTATGTAGGATGGCCGGCTATATTAAAATAATGCGTTAAAAACGTGAGTCTTCCCAACCGCCGCGGGGCCTGCACAGGAGGCTAGGTGTGATGTACATCGTGTTTAGCTGATGCCGGGAGGCAGCAGGGACCCGCCTGTCGAGTCTCTCACGTGTGAGAAACATGTGAGGGAATTAGTAACCTCGGCAGGCGGTAATAGTTAACGTTGCCTTCACATTATCCACAACACACGTGCAAGTAGGGTTATTGCATCCAGTCTACTGCCCATCCAGGTCTATGCCTGAATGAGTTAGGATTGAAAATTGTGACCAGGCACGGTACTGGATACTCTCCACGTGTCTAAGATCGTGCATGTAGATTTAAATACGCGTGGACTATCCAGAACCGTGCCTAAACATGGTTCTGGATAAAGCACGGTTCTGGATACGACAAGCGTTACCCATGTCTAAACACAATGTTCAAGGACCACTTAGATATATCAGAACTAGATCCAACTGGACTGGAAAGTAAAGGATATTGAGCTTGGAGAAATTGGATCTGGAGGTCTGAAAGTGCAACAACATTAGTGGTAGTCGTTATTCAACAATTTCGTTTATCAAAAGTGTCCCCCACCCTTCTGTAAAGGCTCCCCGTATGTGCCCAATCCCCGCTGTATGTCTTAATTACAAACAGAACGGCGTTCTTCACCTTTCTGTTGTATGTTTCGCCCTCCCTTGGCGAGTTGGGTTGTTGCTGAGCCGGATCGAGCCGGATCGGGAGCGGTCCCACTGGGGTAAAGTTGACCAGATCGAAGCTAAATCGAGACAATTTTATCCTAGTGGGAAAATGACATGGTCTAAAAAGACTGGCATTCACATGAATGTGGTTCTGGATAAAGCACTGTTCTGGTTACTCATGTGTACGAGAAACATAATGTTCAGGACAACTTGAGTAGCCGTGGGTCGTGTGGCGTAGCGGCAGCGTGCTCGACTCGGAACTAAGAGGTCCCGGGTTAGAGTCCTGACATGCCACCGATCTTGTGCCCTTGGGCAAGGCACTTTACACGACTTCCCTCACTTAACTCAAGTGAAAAAGAGCATTGTCTTGTATTCATCCTCTGCGTTGGTGGCGTCATAAATGTTTATATAACTTGAGTGTGCTGTCACCATGTCTAGTGTCTAGTCATGAAATGTTGGAAAATAAAAAAAAATATAAGGTCCATGAAATGTCTAGTCATGAACTTTTGGAATATAAAAAAATATAGGGTGTATAAGGAAACACGACCCGATACCGCTAGTGAGTAAAGCATGTTGAGCCTGGAGGTAAATAGTAAAACAACACGGCCTTGATCTTTCACTAAGCCTTTGCGTAGGTCCCCGGCCCTGAGGATTACTTAATGGTTCTCGCCTTTTCAAACACCGTTCGCTAAGTGCATAATGCCAGAACCAGAGACATTTAATCCGAACTGGGCTTAAAGTTTTACCAACCGTCTGAGCCCTTTCTAAGAATTTTATCTATTCAAGTAAATGGGAGTTGTTGTAGATGACGTACGTATTTACCCTTGATTTATAGAGAACATGGCCCAGCTATCTAAAATTTATCTCATACTGTGTTGGTATGTATTTTTATGACCTTACCAAGAAAGACGCCTTAAGCTACAGAGGTGTTAATGAAAGGTTGAAGAACACATTTTGACGGTGTTAACCCTACTCTAAGCCACTTCATGTCTTATTGCTTAATGGTTCTCACCTTTACAAATGCCGTTCGTCAATTATATAATGACGGAAACAGAGAGATTTCATCCCCGCTAGAATTTAGCCTTATACATGTACGATTGAGGTTTCGGTCCAAAACAATCCAGATGTGGTACAAAAAGTATTATGAGCTCCGAAGAGCTCGGTTTGTACAGCCTGCACAGAGAGCCATGTGTGCTTGATGTTTGACAAGACACCTTCCGTGCCTTTTACGGTCTTCGGGTGGATATTTCTGGGATGCCCCAGATGTTAAGGGTAATCCTTTAAAAGGTCGTTCAGTGGGTGCATGAAAAAACAGCCGACATATCAATGTATACTGTACCCGTTCTGCTAACAGTTTTCAATTAGGGGGCTAAGTGGCATTGGTCACTGAGGGTCATATCGTTATGACCACTGAAAGACAGAGAGGTGTCAGGTGTGTGTGTGTGTGATTGAGTGTGCGTGCGTATGTGCGTGTGTGTGTGTTTGTTTGTGTGTGTGTGTGTGTGTGTGTGTGTGTGTGTGTGTGTGTGTGTGTGTGTGTGTGTGTGTGTGTGTGTGATTGTATGATTGCACAACTGTGTAGCTACAGCGCTAGCCCTGTGACGCAAGTAACGTTTTATGTAAGAGAAGGGACTTAATCTTACATCTTACAGTTAATCCTTGCTGACAGTAAGGTCGAGGCCAGCTTTGCTTGTGCCACGTGACCCAGTTAGCAAACAGCAGGAACAAGAATTCGGAGATCTCAGACCTCCATAAAATATCAACTCTTGCCATGGTGTCTACAAGTCACCACTTTTTAGAAGGGGTTAATAGCTCCATATGCTATGGTCTGGTGCACTACTAAATTGGCTGATACAGCACACAAACACACACACACACACGCACGCACGCACACACACACACACACACACACGCGCACGCACGCACGCACGCACACTCACAAACACACACACACACACACACAAACACACACACACACACACACACACACACACACACACACACACACACACACACACAATACCTCTAATTTTATGGAGGTACCAACTCCTTCCCAGGACCTACTGGCGACATAACCTTTGACGTATTTAGTGGGGAAAATCACGTTGAAATCATGAAAGGCGGATTTCTTCCGAACGCAGAATGTTCACCTGTCTCGTCTTTTATGGCTTTCATCATAGTAATAACGTTTCTATGTCTTGTAATCACATTTATCCGCATCCAAACTCAAACTTTGATGTTCCGCAATGAACCGGTCCGTTGCCTGGTGAGGCAAATTATAAATTCAGGAAACAGATTTCTCTCCTTCACGGTCTTTTAATTTGATGGGCGCAGACCTGTGGTCATCTTCCCGAAGATAACTTCATCAGGACGGCAATTTTCATGTCTTTTACATGTCAAAATCAGGATGCGTGATTCCAAAACCTGTTTATCCCGTTACCGTGGCAACGATTCGTGTTGAGCAGAAAGACAGCTATTTTGAGGGGTGGTTGACGAAGAATCATCACTCTACAAAGTATGAGCCAAATCCAATTTTTACCGATTCGTGACCTCAGCGATTTGATTATTTCATGAATAAAGCAGGAAACAAAAACCGACGCCATAGCTGTTTGATCCTGCCATAAATATTTTTTTTAATATTTCAATATGTAATCACAAGACGTGGTGGTGGTGACACACTCGAGTTTTTTTCAGCTTATATCAATGCCGTCACCAACACAGGCGACAATACAATTAAGGGTTAATGACCCGCCCCGATGTGAATATGGTATGATAAAGCCTTGGCAGTTGCTATAACCACCGAATAAAGCCACCTGAGTTAAATGAGGAAAGTCGTGTTAAGTGCCTTCCCAAGGGCCAAGATCGGTGGCATGTCAGGACTCGAACCCGGTACCTCTTGGTTCCGAGTCGAGCACTCTGCCACGACCCCGCAATTAATAATTCTTAAACCGCTGCGACCGGTTCGTCTCGAATGCACGACGGCAGGAAATATCGTCAGGGAGAACTCGTACATGTAGGTGGATTGGTATTTGATCAGGGCTTCACGAGCCTACGGCCCACCTGATCCACTGTTCATCAGACAGAGTAACAGTATACCGCAGCAGGTCACAACAGAAAGCGTGAGAGAAATTGTTTATTCATTAAATTGCTAAATTATATAGTTTGTACTGTATTTTTTAACGTAGCCGCCGATTCTGAACAAAACTAAGACATAAATTGTTCTTTCTAGGGTTCAAACGGTTAAGAACACACTCCCTCTGGAACCACGCAGCTTCGGCTTCTTTTGAGCAGGCTTCCGTAATCGATACCATTGGTACAGTAATTTCCGATGCTCATCGATGATATCATATTGTTGACCTATTTGATGATATGATATTGTTGTAGTCTACGATGATATATTGCAAATTCTGCTTTTTTTTAATGTCAGGGTCTGGACTACCTAAAAAAAATAGGTCAAATATGGCCTGAGCTCTGGTTATATCAAATAAATACATGAATCCATTGATCCAGCTTACTCTGGGAATGAAGGCGTCTTTTCCTGCGTGTTTTGCATGTCTCATCCCAAAGACCTGACATAATCTAGTATGTGAATCTTTGTGGAAGAACCTACACAATAAATTCTGTATAGCTTACGGAGATAAACAGTACATTATATTGAGGACATTTTCATTTCAATGTTTTGTCTCTCGTGTAAAATCTGATCTGCACTGCTGAACTACGTTACAATGTCGACGGTACAAATTTAAGTGTGATATCTTAAGAGTTCATAGAATCTTCCACCACATGTCCTACATCTGGGGTTTGTATTTTGCTCGTGCACCATCATTCACGTTTTTCGGCCGGCTGCGGGTTGAATAAGTAATTTCTAGAAAGACGTAAAAATTATTCATTGATGTAGCCTACTTTCGCGCGCGCAGAAGGACTGACATTTCGGTTCCCACCTTTCTTCCGCCGTTACCTAGCAACCACCAATAGCGTACCTCCAACCTGCGTCACCTCCTCTACGTGAGTATCTGATTTTAAACATTCTTTGGAGCGAACACAACTAATTTCCCTCAGAAGTGCTGGGGGCAGCCTAATTAATTTCTGTACACCTTATAATAATCACGCACGCTTGCAGGAGCGGAGTCAGTCGTCCGTGAGAAGTTCCCGCGGCAACATGGGCGACTACAACTCCTCCGCACCGCCCGAGCCACCCGAGCCGCCCGAGCCAGTGACGGAGGCACCGGACTGGGGAGACCCGCCCCTCGGGCCCGAGGCCACCGCCGTCCCGATCGTCTTCGCCCTCATCTGCGTGGTGGGGCTGGCGGGAAACCTGCTGGTCATCTACGTGGTGTGGAAATACGAGAGGATGAAGTCAGGTAAGTGTTTTGTTCGTGATTTGTTTGTTTATTGTTTGTTTGTTTGTTTGTTTGTTTGCTTGTTTGTTTGTTTGTTTGCTTCTTGTGTTCGCATGGTCTGTAGGGACTGGTACAAACAAAAACAGGAACCTACCAGTAACGGTTTTCCGTCGCTTTTGCTCCATGAATGTCGATGTACATTGGGAATGGTGTTTTTTAACATAGTATGTAGAGCAGTGACTGGAAAATTGACTTTTAAAAAATCTGATTTTCAAGCCCTAAAAACTGCGCATGCATTAGTCACCTTGAAGGCGTAAAACACACCAGTTTTGTACAGTACCGGTAAGTACAAGCTGCGTCAGGCCGGTCTGTAAGGTTTGATCCACTCACACCTGGAAGGTCCTCAAAAAATGTAGCGGGTTCTTAGTAAGGTGATCGAGTTGTGGCTCTAGCTTGTCAAGCACTGGACCTCCGGCCTTGCGCGCCATCCGAGCAAGGATGGAGAGGATAAAACCAGAAGCTAGCTTTTTTTCACCTGAGTCGAGTGAAATTGTTTTTGGTTCCGCCTGAATATTTAACCGTATTTCCTGACCGAGAAATAAGACAGTTAACTCGTTAATGAGTGTGGTTTTCCACAGATGTGCCTGTCCTTGGTACTGAACGCTATCCACACTAAAACACGCCTGTCCTTGGTACGGAACACTATCCACACTCAAACACGCCTGTCCTTGGTACTAAACGCTATCCACACAAAAAACAGTTTTCCTTGGCGCTGAACGCTTTCCACACAAAACCTCCGTGCCCTCGCACACAAACACACCTGTCCTTAATGCTGAACGCCATCCACATTCAAAACCAGCTGTCCTTGGTACTGAACACTACCCACACAAAAACCGCTTTTCCTTGGTACTGAACGCTATCCACAAAAAATCGTCTGCCCCTGGTGCTGAACGCCATCCACACAAAAACACGTCGGTCCTTGGTACTAAACACTATACACACACACATACACACCTGTCCCTGGTACTAAACGCTATCTATAGGTACTGAACGCTCTCCACACAAACACACCTGTCCTTGGTGCTGAACACCATCCACGTACAAACTCACACGTATTTTTCTAACCTAAATTGTTTTATTCCGTGGCTCCAGTGACGAACTACTACATCGTGAACCTGGCGGTGGCTGACGTGGCGTTCCTGATCTGCTGCGTGCCGTTCAGCGCCGCCGGCTTCACCACCACCAGCTGGCACTACGGACTCTTCATGTGCAAGTTCGTCTTCTACTTCATGCAGGTAAGTCTGTCACAAAACAGTCTCGTGAAACACAAAAACGCAAAACTCAGGGTTCGATTCCCGTCCGTGTTCTGATTTCATGTGCAGGTTCGTCTTCTACTTTATGCAGGTAAGTCTGTGAAAAGACAACTATAGCCATCGTGGCCTCGTCGTGAAACACAAAAACGCAAATTCCGGATCCTGGGTTCGATTCCCGTTGGTGTTATGATGTCATGTGCAAAGTAGTCTTCTACTTCATGCCGCTGGGTCTAACTTCATGGGTTCGATTCTCGTTAGTGTTCTGATTTAACACAAAACGTCAAGTCCAGGGTTCGATTCCCGTTAGTGATTTCATGTGCACATTAGTCTTCTAGATCTTGCAGGGGAGTCTGCTGAAGGATTAACTATGCCACTTATAAATTGCTAGCGTGGTCTCGTGAAACACGAAATGCAAAGCCATGGTCAATGTGCGTGAGGACCACAAGGTCCAGAGTTTGAATCCCGACCGGGTCTTGTTCCCTTGTGAAAACATGGCTGTATCATCTGTAACGCCATTAACTTCCCAGAAGCCAGGACATTTCCGTTAATCTAGCTCGCCTTCAGAAATACAACTTGATACGGAGCTTCAAAGCGAATCAAAGGTTCTATGAACAAATAAAATAAGGTCTACTTTGCGCTGGGTATAAGTAGAGTAAGCCATAACCTAGTTTCGTTTTCGTTATGCCATCAGTGGTCTAGAAATGGGGTCTATTAAAGTTCAATAAAGGCGGTGGAAGGAGAGGGATGGGCTCCGCCTTCTAATCCCGTGGCCTAGACACAGTGGATTAACAACCCACTGCACCTACGGCTCCAAAAAAGGCTATGGGACGATCTTTACCTTAAACATGAATTATGCAAGATTAAGAAAAAGCAGAAAGTAAATCTTCCAGTCATTTCTTTACACCATGAGTTAACTCGACCAGATATTTAGAGAAAGAAATGACAACATGTTTAAAACCTGTGATATTCTGTACATGTATATTTTGGACGGGTATATAGCCTAAATAACCACCCTTCGGCGTAACACACCTGCTTCTGTATCTGTATAACCTGTATAATATAACCGCCCTTCGGCTTAACACATATGTACACCAGCTTCTGTATGTGTATGTGTATAGCCGGTTATTCCAAACCAACACGTGGCTAGGCATGTGCCTCCATCTCCCAGCCTACCGTCTCTAGGTGTCTAATAATCCGACAACTTCCTGTCCATTATTTGATGTAATTCAATACGGTTATTAGCGGTCCTTGTGTAACTATTCTTGCGCAGTTCACAAACCAATTTCTGTTCACTGGCCTTAGGCAACCAGGTGTTGCGAAATCCGTAGCTTCTGGGGTAACGTCATTGATTTAGGGAAGTATCATATTGAAAAGCATCAAATTCATCAGTTACAACTTCAAAAGCATCATTACTGATTCTTATATGGAGGATGCCATTAGCAATACTAGATTCTGTAGGTGGAAATGCTTTCGTGACGCTTACCACCAAATATGGACATTTGAAATGCCGTGCCATGTAAGAGCAAAAGTATCATTAGAATTCGTACAAAACTTAGTCTCGAGTTTATGTAATACTGTACAAAATGAATCAGGCAACTTCTCTGAAGTGTTAGACGTTCCAGATACCATCAATGACTAGTGATCACATAGCATCGCTGACTGTTATCATGCTCCATCACTGATGAAAGGTAGCGGATGCTATGTGGAACGTCTTTAAACTTCAGAGAATCCATCCAGTTGATTGATTTATTTTGTAGTACATAAACTTCAAGAACCTTCGTCTTCTCGTACAGACGTGACTCTCGAACAGACGCAAACCTTTGTTCCTACACAAAACGTTTACTCTTCGATTTTTCGACTGGCCTGCTGCTCTGGTCTCCGTTAGAGTGATCCTTTAATCTAGTTCAGCCTTTAATAAGCCAACTGGGTATTAAGTCAGCATCGAGAGTCTATTTATTCATGCATCGAGATTTACTAATACCAAACGTTGAGGACAGCTTGATGTAACAGGTGAGCATTACCTTGACAAAATGTCAAACCAGAGACCACTTAGACGGAAATTGACCCCTACTCTTTTTTGTAAATGCTGTGGGATTTTTAACGGCTCTCCTTAGAGTCAGTTAGACACGTACACGTAAATCCGCCGCTGTACGGCACAGGCCAACTAAGGCAAGTGAGAAAATGTGCATATAAAGTGCATATGTGCTAAGGCCTGCCAGGAAGTCAACAAACCAGCGTTACCCTAACCACAAATCCACCTCCCTGCGGTTCAATCCTGTATAAATCTGCTCCACACGAAGCAATCATTAATAAAACATCAGCGCAGTGGCCGGTGGATAATTTCCGGTTATTTTTCTGTCCTTTTTTTTCGGCGATCAATACAAAATGGGAAAAGGCGATTAGATGAGGCCTGCAGCGTCCTTGGTTTTTAGATTGGTCAGCATCTAGCGACTTAAAGAAACTCACCAACTCTTCCATCACCCTGTCTAACAGATCAGTAAGACAACTTGATGAAGCGCGAGATGCTTAATATACTTTGGAAAAATGTTTGTGTCCACATGGAATTGATACAGAAACAGAAATATAGGTCAATGATTTTGTATTTTGTAGGAACAAGCTGTTGCTGTAGAAGGACTTACATACTGGTATTTAGACAGTGTAATGGTGTGAGCTAGAACAGATAGAAGAAGTTTCAATAGTCTGAAAGAGAGAAAGGGAGAGCGTGCCATTATTATGCAGTCAGTGGAAAGAATCTGTTGCCGTCGAAGGACTGTTGTTTGGACAGGGTAATGAAGTGGACTAGAAGGGAACCTAGCGGTGCACGGAAAAGCTCTCAATCATGTCAATGGTGGAACAAGACGTGAGAGTTAACCGAACAATTGCCATGAAACTATCTGTAGAAGAGAAGCTTCGTCTGTACGAGGGGGAATCCAGCTTTTATGCGGCCAGGTGATAGCCAAGCCAACGGCGTCACGACTAATCCTCTGTCGTGACTACGGCATTAACGTTAACGCTGTCGGCATTGATTTGTGTTAGAAAAATCTGAGATGACAGATTCGGTTGACGGGATTTACGGCTTATATGAAATTCAGGAAACTGTCGACAGACATTTATCTTATTTTATTACCAAAATTGGGTCGATATTAAGAATCACCGCACTAATAATCAGGAATAATCAATAGATTAAATGGCATGCTTTGATTCTGGGTATTTCGTTTGTTTGGCATGCAAGCTGTGTAAGACTGGACTGTAAGATTTGATCCACGCACACCGGATGGACTTCTACTCTTTTATATGAGTGTGCGGGATATTTAACCTGCTCAAGGGATCTTAAAACACTGGATCTTTACGTTGTATCCAAGAATACGCCAACTGAAGCTGGGTACTCATTTGCACCTGAGTGGAGTGGGGGGAGATAGCTGAAAAGTGCTGTCCCCAAGGACAATGGACTGGATACAAAGCACAGATGGCTTTACGTCACATTTAAAAGTACGTTTCTGAGCCAGGTACTAATTGTCACCTGAGTGGAGTAAGGAAATACGTGTTAAGTACCTTTTTCAAGGACACATTGTTTTTGGCTTGCCAGTTTTGGAATGACCATACCTCTCCAAAATTTGCGAGCCAGTCTGTCTCTGCTAATGCTTTAGAGTTTTATTAGAAATACGGCGCCGTCTTACTCTGCTCGACTCGTAATTCAATAACAGATGTTAAGTGGAGTGTTTTTCTATACTCCAACATTTATTAAGAGGTCCCGAGTCATGCCCTTGCAAAAGGCACTTTACACGAATTTCCCCACTTATCTCAAGTGCAAATGAGTATGTCTATTGTTCGTGCGTGGTGGCGGCATAAAAATAAGTTGAAAAACAACTTGAGTGTGTCGTTGTAATTTACAACACATGGCGACGACACACTCAAGTTGTTTTTGAAATTCGTGTAAAGTGCCTTTTGCAAGGGCATGACAGGATTTAAACTCGGGAATTCTCGGTTCCGAACCAAACGCTAGGCCACACAAGCCCACACGAGTGGATTTCTTGAACGGTGGATACGTTATGTCCCAGTCTGCCATAAAAAATGATTGCATGCAATACTAGTACTTTCTAGTGCTACTTTTGAGCCGATCCTCAAATTCTGAGCAGACTCACGGAGATTTAAGAGGCAACGATAAGACACGCGCGCCCTACTTTGGAATCTGCCTCTTAATCGTAGTAGTACGCTCGCGCCACGGCTGATACAAAAGGTCACGTCGTGAGGACATATTCCATCTTCTCCTCATTAATTACAAGGGCGATCTGTCGATACTCAGTCCAGCTGTGCAGGCCTTCTGATCACCGGTATGACCTCGCCCGTTATAAGCCCGTTAAAATCGATGCGATGCGGAACATCTTGACAATTCAATCCCTCTTTTTTTATTGCTTTTTTCCACGGTCGATGACCTTTGATGAGTCATTTTCGTAAGATAAATGTAGCAATTTACAATGTACGGACACTGGAGGTACTTTTCGGCTGTCAATCAATGAGTAAAAGTCTCAGGAACTCAATGATTTACAGCCGGAATGTGTCCATATAAAGGCTTAATGTCCATTATGTCGATGTCTTTAATTGGAACCAGTTTGTGTTTATGGGGTGCCATTATCCCTCAAAGCACGGCCTGCTGTCACAAAGGAAGACTCATGTAAATCTATGCTACTGAAGAGACTGACAGATGCAATATTTGTCAGGTATGTCATTAACGAAATCCCGGGCTTCTAGAGCATGTGTATGGCAGATATAATATACTCAAAATGCCCTCAATAATGTTTGCTATCTTGTTGCTATGTTGCTACCAAAGGATTGGAAGTTGGCATCTCTACCTCTTTAGGCTTACTGAGAAGAAGGAAAGATGTTACTACGTAGTCATGCGTTCGAGTATCTACAGAGTTATCAACCCAGGACTAAGGTGTACAGGGCGGCTATCTTCTTGCTTCCTGCTACGCGATTTTGTTGTTGAACTAGTCAAAGAACATGGTCTAGCCCAACAAAGTACTGCTTTTTTATTCCTACTCAAACACATAGGGTGACCAGCCCCTCCAATTTGTTACATACTGTAACCAAACACCACAGTGTGTATGCTAATATCAGTTACCGAAGGAAGGAAACATATGTGAGCTTGAGTGCGTGTGTTTTGCCTGCAGGTGACGACCATGGCCACCTGCCTGACGCTGGCCGCCCTGAGTGTGGACCGGTATGTCGCCATCGTCCATCCCGTCTCCTCCCTCGACAGACGCACCCCAACACTCGCCATGGCCATCAGCGCAGGGATATGGATAGGTACGGAGTTTTCTTAATTTTTTTTTTTTTGCTCCTAGCATTTGCTTTGGGTGTGTGATGAATTTGTCCGTCTTTTCGTCGGTTGAGTGACAGCACGTGGGTGGGAGAATTCGCTAACCACAGAATACAAAAGGTCAGACACAGGTAATTAGGTAACCCGCTGCTTCCTGGGAGCCACCATGTACCGGGAAGTTGTGCCCGTAATTCAGTATTATGCAATGCTCCTCTATATCTACAGCAAAATTTATCTTTAAACATAACAGATGATTGATTGATTGATTGATTGATTGATTGATTGATTGATTGATTGATTGATTGATTGATTGATTGATCGATTGATCGATTGATCGATTGATCGATTGATCGATTGATCGATTGATCGATTGATCGATTGATGGCTGTTCCAGGGTCGTTCCTGCTGTCCGTGCCGGTTGCCATCTACACCGAGCTGGTGAAGGGGTTCTGGTTCGGCCCGCAGGTGTACTGTCAGGAGCAGTGGCCCTCCAGACAGGTCAGTTTGACAATCTGACTACATCAGCATTCCACTAGCCAAGCCCTTTGAAGCGTGGAGACCAACGCCTCTAAGTCAAGAGAATTGGGAACATGCTTGTCCTTTTGATTCATCTGCTACCATCATAGTCCGACTGAGTACTGTTGCCCGATTACTTGTTTTTGCTCTGTTTTGTCTTCCTGTTCTTCTTCTACAAAGAAATAAGGTCAATGACCTGAACCAGACGTCTGTCACCATAGTAATTAGTGTTGGGTTACATCATGTTGCAATTTCATACCAGAAGGGATTTAGACTCCTGGCATCGTGTTATATAAGAATGTAAGAATTAACGGAGCAGACCATATGCAAAATAAAGATAAACATCATGCATTTACTTTACAAATGTTACCTTTCTATTACATGTTTGTTTCCACAGGCTGAGCTCGGCTACAACATCTACACCATCCTCATCAGTTACGTCATCCCGCTGCTGGTCAGCGCCACGTCTCACACCCTCATCGTCTGCAGCCTCTACAAGAAAAACAGCGTCCAGCCGCACCACAACCTGCACAACGAGGAACAGGTGGACATATCCTTATACCTTTAACCTTTAACCTCAGACCTTTAACCTCAGACCTTTAACCTGTACAAGAACAACAGCGTCCAGCCGCACCACAACCTGCACAACGAGAAACAGGTGGGCATAACCTTATACCTTTAACCTTTAACCTCAGACCTTTAACCTCAGACCTTTAACCTGTACAAGAACAACAGCGTCCAGCCGCACCACAACCTGCACAACGAGGAACAGGTGGGTATAACCTCTGACCTTTAACCTGACTTTTAACCTGCACTAGAACAACAGCGTCCAGCCGCACCACAACCAGCACAACGAGGAACAGGTGGGCATAACCTCTGACCTTTAACCTCACCTTTAACCTGTATAAGAACAACAGCGTCTAGCCGCACCACAACCTGCACAACGAGGAACAGGTGGGCATAACCTTAGACCCTTAACCTTTAACCTCAGACCTTTAACCTGTCACTAACGTCCCATACTGCACAACGAAAAAGAGGTAGGCTTTTTTTTCTCTCAACGCGACAAAATTAGGTAAAAGCATTAGTCGTATCACTTCTTCTGTCTATGGAGGTTTTATGAATTTGTTCGTTTGCTTGTGTGTCCGTAGCTATTTGAATACAGTCCCAAAAAGGAAAGGGAAATGGCGTAACCACAGACTGACGGAAAGGGCAAATTGGGCGTCAAAATAGTCTCCCTGCAGTCCGGCAGGACAATGCTCTCATCAGATAAACGTCAACCCATTCTTAAATCTTTCTTCTCGTTCCTGTCCAGGCCCTGCGTAAGAAGAAGAAAGTGACCCGGATGGTGGCGGTGGTGGTGACGCTGTTCGCCGCCTGCTGGCTGCCCAACCACGTCATCAACCTCGTCAAACAGGTACACAGACTTTAGCATCTGTGTGTTTGTTTGTTTGTTTGTTTGTTTGTTTGTTTGTTTGGGCCTCTTTTTAGCCATGCTAACAAATCTCTCCGTCGATGTTACAAAAACACTGAGGATTGGACTATATATATATTGGACTCAGAAACTATCAATTGGGTGAACGAACGCATTACATCGGTAAATGTCAATAATCAGTCAATCGATGACTTATTGATTAATTAATTCTGATCGATTCTCCCCAGTTGAACCTGGTTACGCTCGGGTACGAGATGTACTGTGTGAAGATCACGGCCCTGTGTCTGAGTTACGCCAACTCCGCAGCCAACCCGTTTGTGTACGGCTTCATGGGACAGAACTTCAGAAAGAGCTTCAAGAAGGCCTTCCCAAGGTGGGTAGTGATGATGTAGGGTCGTATCCAGAACTGTGTTTTATCCATCCCGGCATCCGTATACAGAACTATGCGCCGGGGGCAAATCTAGCCTCCACCAGGCCTTTCTACGAGAATACGGATCGTGGAATTCGCCAAAAAAGAGAGTAGAATTGGCCAGGGGAGTCCGGCCGCAGGGAGGTTGTTTCTTCCCCTCCGAAGTGCGCGGTCGCTGGCGAATTCCCGATGGCCTCTATACCAGTGCTCAGTTTTAACCAACTTCCTCTTTTACTTCTTTTTCGTCCTTCCAGATGTTTCCACCAGAACCGCGTGGCCGTGATGATGCCGGACGGGGCCCGGGCGGGAGGGTCCGGAACAGGGAACGGATCGGGCAACGGGAACAACGTCAACCTCAAACCGTTCGTGAACAACAAGGTCTCCACTGTGGAGGAACACACTCCCTCAGTGTGAACCCATGGTTGTATCGTACCCAGAACCAAGCTTATCTAGGTTGATGCCCGAATGGGTCAGGGTTAGGATCAGGCACGGTTCTGGACAGTCTCCTCGTATCCAAGAACGTAGATTTGCCGCTCAAACCAACACACAAAACGTTTCATTCTGATCTACCTCAAAACTACCGTGACAGTGCCAAAGTTTTTACTGCGAGCCAATAGCTCCTGTAAACGTCCTGAAATCAGCGATATTTTTCCTAATGCACTTACGTAACATTCAGTTGAAAGCTAATGAAACGACAGCCGTCTTTGGCAATAAAACCATGCTGTGTGATATTCGGGGCACTTGACAGGTATGCACGCCACCTTGCGGGTAAAAAGATTATCACAACAGCTGTATATAAAGATTTAGATGCTGTCAGTGAAATAGTGTGTGGTTGTCTGATAATATCACAGAGGAGTCACAACAATTTGATCATATATTGTTTCTTGCATACATGTAAAGGTACTTGTGTCATCGATAAGGTTAGACATCCAGGTACGAAACACAAGATATTAATCAAGTACTTGTCAGACGTTTCAGAGAGCATCCGAAATCTTTCACCAGTGACTTAGAACGTGTTAGGTGGCGTATCGTACGCGTAATAATGTTATCATTGTACCCCAAAGATATATTTCTTGGATTTTTGGATCTTCAGTCGTTCAATAGCAGCTACAATGTTTGCTGTCCAGACTACTCTCGTGTTGTGCTGTTAGCTGCTAGTCAAGGTAAATATATTTGATATTGTATATAATAAAGTTATAACGTTATATATATATTGACCAAGAGAGACGAAGAAGAAGATTTGATATTGTACAGAAAAAAATATTTGTTGTGGACAGACGCGTTTGAAAATTGAGAGAACTCAAGGAATGGTAAAGAGATGTAAACGGACTGTCATATGCAGAGTGTATTCATGATACATGTATTATAGTTTTATATATATTTATATGGACAATCACAAATAACGGATATAAATTGATAAATGTTATTTGTCATTTGATATTTTTGTGATTTTGACTTTCAGTGTGTGATTGTAATTTCCTGCATGTGATTTTAACAATATAGATGTACGTTCGCACTTGACAATCATGATAATGAAAGTCGCACAACCTAAAAAAAAAGCTTAAGCAGACCGTACAATGTACATACAGAGGAAAAGTTGTCAATACAGGAAAGATTTTTTGTCTGTATTCCTGCTTGTGTTTTTTTTCAAGATATGGTTACTATATATATATTATCTTCATAATGCACTATTATTGTTCGCAATCGGCCACCATGACGAAATGAATTCGAAGCAAATTGACCTTCGTGTCAGTCTGCGGTAAAACGTTTCGTTATCCCCTCACTTCCTGTGTCTCCACTCCATTCAAATAACCACGGACACATAGCCAAATAAACAAACAAACCACTAAAAACAAAACTTTCGTACAAGAGGGCAACAATCAGACAGTACCTACAACGCTGTAGACATAGACCCATTGTACAGGTTAATAGAAGTATCTACAAGTTCTTCCGCTGACTGTACACGTCGGTACCCTAAAAGAGACAAGGTCTGTCGGCATTTCTCTTGTATAAAGTTCACTTGAGCGAAGCTTAGCGCAAGCCTCCAGCCTCCCGTCCTGTCCTTAGACCGCCGGCGGGTGGAGAAGGGCGCCCGGGCGGGGTCTGACGCGTTGGTGTTCCGCCGGACCCACCTGTACACCGCCTTGTGTAGAGGCACGCCGAGAGACTGGTACAGCTTCCTCATCTTCTCAACGGGTGCTGAGGCCACGTCTTCAAACCTTAGCAGTGTGTAGCGTTCATTAAAACGGCTAGCTGTGACGTTTTTAAGGTGAACGTTTCTTACGATCGATTCACAGAGCCCGTACACTTCGCCGTCGTCGATGTCGTCGTCAAAGAACGTGGTGACGTTGTCTTTCCTGTGATGACGTAAGGCGAGGCGTGACGCAATGGTTGCCCGTGGGTCTCGCACCAGGTGTAAAACGCGGAGGTCCAAGTCGTTCTGCTCTGTTATTGGCTGAAGAACACTTATATTTGCCAAGCGGATTGTTTTGATAACAGTAAATCGTCTCGCCCTGCAAGCTCTGCCCAAAACCTCTGCCAGAAGCTCTGCAGGGATAGGGCACCTCAAAGCGGTTCTTGAGTCGTTCGCTCTCAATTTCTTAAAGCTTCTACACAACTTCAGAATGACTTTAGACTTGGTGGGCGCTCCAAAGGTCTTGTTGTTCAGGTAAAACGGCATGAGGTCCACGAGATTCTTAAAGTCGCAGGTTAAGATGCCTTGAAGTAATTTTAACTGCTCAGCTTCTGAGACGTTGTGTGTTTTGTTGGGGTGGTTCTTTAGTGCCCATAGTGGCTCATAGACGTAAAAGACGTCCGGGTGTTGGTTAAACAACTCGCCTACAAAAGACGACCCACTCCTCATCTGTGTGACAATAAGGACTGCAGTTCTAGGCGGGCTTCCAGTCAAACTCCTCGGCTCGTAGCTGCTCGCGTCGCGATGCAGCGAAAGTTGCGCTCTTATTCCGGAAGTCAAATGAAAAACGACGATGTTGCAGTACAGGAGGGCGGAAATTCCAGACACCAGGAGTAGGAGCAGGAGTTTCTTAGTCCGTCGTAGTGACAGCATGTTGGTATGTCTGGAAAATGACAATGACAGTGTTCTTTATTTGCACATCCATGCCCATATGGGCTAAATGCAGTACATGCAGTTTCACATGAATCAGTCGTAGAAACACTACAATTCTACAGATGTGCTACACTTCACCTATAGTGTACAAACGGCCGGATGAACATGTATGGCTAACGTTTACGTGCGTCTCCCCTCTTTTTAAAACAGGTATATCACAGAGTTTTTGTTGTACAGTAAATAAAGCCACGTTGGTGGAGGCTGTATAGGTATAATACGTGCCTTCGGATCAAAAAAGAAACAGTAGTGCGTTTTAAGTTAGAAGAGTCTAGGGTCCTGGACAGTGCAGCATAGAGAACTCTAACGGAGGGCAGCGAGGGGTCAGCTACTTCGCCATGCATTTACGAAGGATAGACGGACTTTGAAGACGCTTCAAGCTAGTGAAAAGACGTACAGAAATAGTCAAATCAGACCTTCTACAGATCAAGTACACAACTTAACCAGTGGTCTGCGAAAAGGCGACCTCCAAGCAGATGTTGGGATGGAAAATTATGACGTTTTCTGGGCGAACCGTTTGTTAGTGTGGTTACGGAGGAGGGAGAAATTATAGCGTCACTATTTTCCACCCAGACATCTGCTTGGAGATGACGGAAGGACGTTTCCTGACTTTGTTGATGTTTGGGGACGACAAGTCACTTAAACAACCCCGCAGTCACATAAACAGACCCGTACAGCGTAAACACGCACCGGCACAGGCGACATGTGGAACACTTCAGCTCACTCACAAAATCACTCTTTGTGTTTTAGTAAGAGGGTAGGTAAGAAAACTGATGCGCGCGTGCGAATAAAAAAAAGTTTTGCAAAAAAAAAAAGAGTTGTTTTCATTATGAAATCTACGTGGTCATGAGGGTTGAACAAATGGGACAGAATATGGTTTGGCGAATAATCTAATCTTCAAGTTCATTTCCTTACAATTTCGTCTTTTTTCGTTTGATTTTGGCATTCTACGACATTGGTATAGTTTTTACTTATTTTTTTGTAACTTACGGTATATTTTTGCTCATTTTGCAACTGTTTTGTACGATTTACAGTATGGTTGAAAACTTTTTTTATTTTTGGAAACGGCCGAAAATTCATGCGCGCGCGGATGTCATCCATATAATCAAATCAACATGGCCTAAAAACAGACTGTACGTGACGTGTGGCCTGACTAGGGTACGCATTCGGTGAAGTTTTGAACATCACTGACGTAGCTATTAGCTATGTTCTTTCTCTACCAAGTGACTTTATCCCACAAACATTTTAAAAACCCTTCAATTAAGAAGTGCTACACTGGCCTACTCTCCAAGCAGAGGTTGAGGGGGAATGATCGTTACCTTTTTATATATGGCCGTTTTTTTTTGTCGCTACCCCTACCAACCTCGGTGGCCACGGACCTTCTCTGGCTAATGGATACTGCCTGGCCAATTTGATACTGTCTTTTTGCCACCGATAGGGATCTGCTTGGAGATTAGCACTGGCCCACAATTCGTAATTCTTGGGTTAGGCCGCGGGCTCAATCCCGGCGGTACATAGTACTTAAGTATGATACTTAGCTTTCAGCAGCTAAAGGAAAGGCTATATGATCGTAGTTGAGCACACATCACTGCCGGTAGATTAACCTCTGCTGTAGTGCTTGGTAGTTTTGCGGCTACAAAAAGTGGGATAACGCCGCATTGTATACCGAAAGGTGTGAGAAGGATTTAAAAACTTAAACCATTAATAGTGAGTGGGATTGACTATCATGCATGTTATATACACACGCAGGTCTGTACCACTGTAATATATTTCGCCCTACTTGTCCAACGTAAAACAATACTAGCCGTCTCTCTATGTTAAAAAGATCAGACATTCAACTCACAAATGCAGAATTATAATATACTAACTATGACTCAGTTTTGCGTTTCCACTGAAGTGGGTAAAGGCAGGGTCTCGGCGCTTCGTCTGGCTAAGTACTCACTTGAACTCCAGCTGCACCAAGCCCGACTGCGCACCAACTCGGCCTGAGCCTGTCTCTATGAAACAGTGGTCTAATGTTTTGACAGAACAACAACTAAAGAGACTCACCCGTGTTACTTATCAACCGAGATGTTCAGTACGTCAGCTTGGGACTCTCTAGAAAAGGAGGAGAACAATACAGGTAGTCCGTGGGCACTTATCTGCGTACCTATTTCGCACACGGTCCAAACACAAGTGACTTGTAGATGGGCGGAAGTCCGCTATAGTGTGTGTATATAACATCTTTTGTCTCCAATTTTCTATATACGTTTGTTATGTGTCTGTCATACTCAGTATCTTGACCTGTACCTAGCCCGTCGTGGCATGAATGTACAATAAAGGTATTTCATTACCGCTGTTTATAATACTAGGAACCGTCATGCCTGAACATCACCAAGCAGGTGGACAAAGTAAACAGTTCAGGGGCAAAGTTATGCCGTAACCACCACAAAAAGCCCACGTTCCAGTATTCTGCACAGAGTCACGAATTTTCGGACACGGGTAAGTGACGCAGAAACTTTCAGTGGCAAACGATGACAGTAGCCTGGAATCCATCCGTGAACGCTTTATCTCCGCTCCGTGAAGGCAGAGCGGAGGAACGGAGCGGAGATAAAGCGTTCACGGACGGATTCCAGGCTACGGTGACAGAGCAATGCGCAGGTTTTGTGGATGGGCAACAGGTGGAACTGAGAACAGGATTTATGGATGTCAACTGCGTATGCAGCATGTCGTGTCGTCAGTGACAGCGAGGGTTCATTCATTCGTATGTATTATTCGTGATATGGTGACCGGAGGCATATCCCATGCCCATCTACATCTACTGGGCCGTGCGGAAATGCCGGGTAGTTAACAGTCGGAACACATAGTCTTCATTCTTCATGGAGGTCGTCAAATTGCTAAACATCTGAAACAAGAACAGAAGAGTGTGCACTGTTTCATTAAAACAAATGAAAAGTGATCAGCGTCGGCTATCTGGTTATTTTGTAAAAGTAGAAAGCATAAATCAGTAGGCTTATCCAGGTTATCCTACTACTGTGTGTGTACATATACGAATGTCGCCGTAGGGAAAATTTAAGCTAGCTTTTGTTCGCTCTTCACCGTTATGCATGCCTATGGCCTTACAAAGTACTAAAGTAAACACAAGTTCACACAGTATACTGTTCATGGTACATGTGTCCGACAGATACAGCACTAATACGTGCTAATGTTGGTTAGAAATGAATGCATTGGTGATCGCCTGGTGGCCTTTAAAGCCTTCTGGAGTTACGGTGTTCATATGCAAACAGATACACGCTCCCCAAAACATAACCTTCTTGGCGAAGGTAGGAAGACACGTGTACACCAACAAAACACTCCAAAATCCAGACAGTACTTCTTAACACCGCGAAAGAGCGCTATGGAAGGTATATCCTTGGCAGCGCGCTGTGGAAGGTCCGCGGAAGGTCCGCGGAAGAGCGCTATGGAAGGTGTATCCTTGGCAGCGCGCTGTGGAAGGTCCGCGGAAGAGCGCTATGGGAGGTATATCTTTGGCAGCGCGCTGTGGAAGGTCCGCGGAAGAG